TGCTTGTTGTTATAAAACACATTTTAACGTATACTTTGCAGAAACTATGGCTCACACTATTAAGGAATAGAGTTTTCGGGAATTACTACAATTTTTGGCTGATATTTATGAAAATAAATGGAACAAAGGAGGAAAGCAGGAAGAATTATGACAATACTGCATTTTGCAGAAGACTATAACTCTGTGGGGAAAAAAGGTTGATGTCTCTGGAGCAGCTGGGTGACAGCTGCTCAGGCAGTAGGAGCAGGAGGAAGAATATAAGCTCCAGGAATGGGGTGGAAAGTGAAGATATGAAGATATTTCTCATAGTAGATTGTCTCAAGCTAAGCTAAATTACTGAAATGTAATGTATAAATCGAACAGGACAGAGTGACTACTTTGTTCAGAGTCAGCGTTCGACCATGGAGAAAGAAAGCTATCTGTAAATTGTGATAATTGCAGTACTACATTTCTGGCAACACTGATAATGTGGTATATGCCGCCTTCCTGTTACCTCGGAAGTTGGATGTTGGAACTCAGGAGGGACAACAATAGTGAGTTCTGGTAGTAAAGTTGGAAAAGCACGAAAAACAGAATTTGCTTTGCTTCTTAGCTAGATAGAGCCATTCATACATCACTAGCAAAACAGACTATTCTGACGAAATGCACTAATAGCATGTTAGTGCATCTCAGCAAGGAGCTCCTTTTGTGTCTATCTCGGCTTCGTCAATGAAAACTGTTTAAAAAAAGTAGAAAGGAAGAAATTTTCTGCAAAACTTCATTATTTAATTTAAACACAGGAATCACTTCTTGAGATTATACATATTTTGCACATTTTATGCAACTGCTGCAATAAGTATGAACATTTGTAACAAATTTGAACCCACACCATTGTTACTGACTTTGTGCTGTTGAAAATCCACATGTGGCACATGTACCTCTTTGACGCTACTTTATTGTGGGTAATGCTAACTGTTGACACATCACTGCAACAATGTTCATGACTCAGTGGAGGCCCTCTCTTCAAAGTATGGACTCAATTAGAAGAGTGCAGGTATAAATTTTTGTGTAGGTGGGCCCAATATGGCAGACACATGGGGGCCCAAGACCGAGAGATAAATCAATATGAGACTGGTTGAATTAGAGCATCAGTATGAAGCTTCCCTTGAGTTAACCTCTTTTTCTTTGCTCCGTCCATTTTTCTCCCTTCATCTCCATCTACTAATTGGAGGAAGGTCATGGCTTGCTGAGCTTTAGGCTGCTTTTTCTGTCTTTAGTTCAATTGACATGTGCTATATCTGCTCTCTGGCCCACTGTTTTGGTCCACTGGGGAGATCATGAAAGGAAGTGGAGGCTTCAGTACGTCCGTGTTTGTTGTAGGATTCAGAAAGGTTACCACTCACTCCTCTTTGTGAACAAGCCTTGGTGGTGTTTGGGAAAACCTTGGGGAGTCTTGACAGCTTGCTACTCCTTCGGTCTAGCAGTGTCATTTTCTGTTTAGATAACCTCTGCACCCACTCTGCTTTTGTCAGCTTGTGGCTTGCATTGATTTATACATCGGAGACAGACACTCAGCAGCTTTCAGATTCGAATTTTGAAAGAAAGGCCATTATTATGTCCAAAAAAGAAAGAAAGAAAGAAAAAAGAGGGTGAGGTTAAATGTCCACAACAATTCTACCAGCGGTGGTGTTACACCTTTCTAAATGATGCATATCTCATTTTAAAATCACACTTTTTTAAAGCATGAGAATATTCTTTATATCTTAAATGAGAGTTAGCAGCTCTAACTGTTTTTCAGCTCTAATTACGCAGAAAACTGCATAAAACTGCTGCGTGTTTACTTTTCATGCCCAAAGTACAAAAAACAGCACTGAAATGTCTTTTAGAGGTGCCACATGTGTGCACGGTGGGTACACATGGAGCCTTTCCTGCATACCTTGAGATTTTTGCAGCCGATATTTACTTATCAACATGACCACTTGTGTCGTTCACCCTGCACTTTTAATGCAGCAGCGGAATAACAGTTAGAGGAAAAACAGTCTTGAAAAGTTCCACCCTACCCTCAAGTGGTTCTTGTGTTCCTTTGCTTAGGTCTGGGCAGCAGACCTATCCTCCACCCAGGATTCCTAGTCTTCTCTTCCTTTCTCCCTAAACCCACACATGGACCCAGCCCACCTAATTTACTCCCACCTCCTAATGTCAAACAGCTGTAGCGTTGAGTAGCATGGAATTACTGCTATTGCAGCCCTACTCCCATTCATGTGTCTATTCTTTTTCTCAGCCATTTTGCGTGTGGTCCCTAATATCACATCACTCACATACCCAAATAAGGTGTGTAGCTCAGCCTTCCTTTCACTGGTTTATTTATGGTCTGGGCACTGGATATATAGGGCATGAATTTACATTACAGGTGGCTGTGGGTGGAGATAGCTGAGCTGACAGGTGATGATAAATTCTTCATACAGTGTGCTTCACTCATACGTTCTTGCAGCCGCGTGGTCTCCTTGACATGTAATGCAAAGTCATAACTGGTCCAATGCCATTTCCACGGCACTCCATCTAACTGAAGGAGCTGTGTGACATAACTGCCATGAGGTCACTTTGTTTGTGATTGATAGCAGGAGACTAGGAAATGATGCTGAGGCTTGAAAGCTCTTGCTGTGGTTGGGAATCTGCTTCAAAGGAATGTTTTGGCCACATGTCAGAAGTCAAACGTGGCAGCTGATTTTCAGGGATTTTGTTGGTCTTAAAATCTGTAGCTCGATGCACCTGTATATTTTTTTTCTTTAAACTGCTACACCCCCATGGTAACTTGTTCACTTATTGTTTTATAGAGTTTTCTCCTTAGGCTTGTGGCTTTACTGAGATCTCGTGCTGAGTTTGAGTGGCTCCACAGAGGCAGCTGAGAGTTCAGTGAACCCTCACGGTTCCACATGCACACTCTTTGAGTTGCTATGTGATGTTCTGCACATAGTTAATCAGAAATGGATGGTTAAGGATTATTTGGCAGAAAACCACCAGGTTATGTTCAATTTCATTTTTTGTATGCCAGACGCTAACATTAAGCGCTTCTTCTTTCACAAATATCTGCTTGTGTAAAAAGCAAGGAGATAGATAGATAGATAGATAGATAGATAGATAGATAGATAGATAGATAGATAGATAGATAGATAGATAGATAGATAGATAGATAGATAGATAGATACTTTATATTTCCCACAAGGAAATATAAACAGCAGCAGGGCAAAGAATAAAAATAGTACAATCTACAATAAATAAGTTGAAGTAAAAGTGGTTCCAGCCTTGTATGATTCTGTTGGCATCTCTGGCACTGATGATCTGTCTCTGGAAGTAGTGGAAAGAATGAAACGTCCTCCCATGAATGCTGACAACATGCTTGAGGAGGTCTATGAGAATGGAATTACTGGCACTGTCTCAGGCAACAAAGAGCTGAAAGTAGGAATTTTCCATAATTTAGATACAATTCACTCTCATGATAGTAGACTCTGTGTTACAGTGCTATGGTTCCTAATCCTGATGAAAATTTGTTCAGTTAACTGCATACCCGTGATGGGAGATAACCGTAAAAGCTGGACATACAGCTGAATACAGTTAAGTCATAGCAATAGTTAAAGACACACTTAAGAGGAAAGAGGTACATTCAAAGCATATTTGAATAAAATCATATAATCACTAGGAGCTGTAAAAGCGATTTGTAAAAAGGTGGTGAAACCTAGAAGGTGTACTCGTTACTACAGGGATTTTCCAAGCCAGTGACAAATAAGAAAGTTATGATCAGGATGTAAAAACTAGCATGTCCTGAGTTGGTGGGCTTGCTGTCTTGCACTGTGTACATCAGATTTATAGCTTCGCTGAGTGAGCAGCATAGCACTGATGATGTTAAGGTATGCAGTTCTCCGCAAGTTAATCGAGTTAACTGCTGCCAAGTTTTGTTTTATAAAAACAAAAGGCACATATCTAATGACAATGTGGTTCCATTTGATGTTGCTTTTGGGTTTTAGTTCTGGTTAGGTGTTCTGTGCCCACTTAATCTGGGTTTTCAGGACCCAGCCAGTCTGACCACACTTTTCAAATGGATTCACTTCTGTCTCCTGCCTTTAACCTCAGTGTTTGTCAGTCTTCTTGGCTCTGAGGTGACTCAGCTGATGTTTCACTGAAAAAAAAACAGCTTTCCACTTTTGTTTCTTGAAGCAGTCTGCAGCTCTGATTCGGTTTTCCCCTCTCCTTTGCCACAAGAAATGCATCTCAGCCAATCAAAGGTTGTTTCTGAGGTGGGTGTGGTTGGGGTTAAGTCATACATGACAACACCCATCAATCTTGTTATTTTGAACACCACACTGGCCTGTAACTGAGTGATCTTCCAGTTTTCCTTTCTCCCGCTTTTGTCATTTAATTTTTTTTTATTATGCACTAAAACTAAGTAGAGAGGTGTGTAAGTTTCTCTTGTGCTTAAACTTATCTTATAGGCACATTTGTGGTCCTTTCTGCGTAAAGTGGCTGCTGCCGAGTTATGCCAGGCTACTTTGTTAGTAACATGTGTCAAGTTGCTTCGACTGATTATAGTCACATACCCTGCTTTTACCTGACCACGCTGTAAGTCTGTCATCAGTTATCTCAGTGTGACTCTCTATTAGCCATGTGCTGTGTATGTGAGTGTGGTGCCTCTCTACAGGCTTTGCTCATTCATTATTAAGAAGCTCCTGATGTTTTGCTGGCCGTCACTGCTCCGGTGTCAGGTACCCACACGATCCTCTTTACTGAACCAGCCTGACTAGGGATCCAGTTCCAGTCTCTGGCCTGTTGGAGCTGCTCCCAGAGCTGCTGAGCTCTACTCTAAAGCCTTTTGTTAGCTCTGGATGTTGGCTTTTCTCCGGCTGATTCCCCCTTGTTATTTCTTCGACTAGCTGTCAATGGAACTGGGAAGCTTAAAATGCATTTGGATATTTCTCTTGGCGTGATCTTGAGGCCATTTCATCTCTCGGGAGGTATGGTGCTGCTGTCATCTTTTTTCCCCTCTGAAAATGAGAATTATGGGTACTTTTATAGCTTACCATAAAGTGTACAACCAAGAAGATGGTGTGTTCACTTTAGCAGACTTGTGGTGAAGCAGTGTAGTTATTTATCCAGCTGAATGTAATCTTTTTGGGAGGCAAATAGCTCCTTTGGTGCCTGAGGAAGCTGCTGTGATTACTGCTGCTGTGACGTGTAGGAGCTATCAGTCTCTGTCATCTGTCTACATTTATTAGCATGATATCTAATGGGGTGGCTGATCTTAGACCACAACTCTGGCTACAGGTCTGTGCAAATGTGCGTGTGCAACTTGACCCCATCTGAATTCTCCATAAGCCACACGGTTGCCTAGAAACATCAGGAGGGCAGCAAATTTAACTTCCATAATATTATGCCAAAGGAAAGAATGACCTCAGGCCCAAACATACTGTTCCTTTTTTTGGCCTTACAAGGGCATCTTCACATTATTCCAGTCAGAAGTATGTCCTTGGGGAAGGAAGTTTTCATATCTCATACTCATGTATGCAGACGCTCCTGAGGATAATTATGATTTACTAGACAAAAAAATTGACCTAATTTCCAGTGAACTTTTTATCGAATGTTTTTACTATATCAACTGCTAACAGTAGCTTTAATTGTAACTGAGGTTTAAGTGGGAAAGTGCCACACTGTTCTCTGCAAATAATACAAAAGGATTTTTCCACTTCTTTTCTGAATATCCTTTAAGTTTTTTGCTCAACTGATAGTTTCTTAAAAAAGTAGGAAAACTCTTTTTTCCGGGTCTGGGTACAGTATGAGTGACGGAAGTACAATGGAGCAAAACTGTGGTTCTCCTGTCAAGGTACGCCGTTGAGGGAGAATATCACATGCTATCTATGTCACGGTCTGGCTGGCAGACCGTGGGGAGATGGGGAAATAGGACCCAAACGCTGGACTCTTCAGTGCAACAGTGTTTATTTACAAGGTGGTGAAGTAAACAACAATAAATCCCCAGTTTCCCAGGCTCCTGTGTAGTGGCTTCTTCCCAAAAGTCCCTGTGTAGTGCTCTCTGCCCCAGTGTCCCTGCTCACTGCTCCTTCTCGTCCCACACTCCTCCTGAGGGGAAAACAATAGAGGCAGCCGTTACAACTTATCCCAGCAGGCAGGCATACACTCACACTTGACTTGACTTGCTTGAAGACTGCCATATAGTCAAACGCAATACTCCAGCGTCGGTGGAAGCTCCATCGCTCATCTAAATAGCTCCCCCGACGAGCCCAGATGAGGAGCAGGTGTGCGGCCAGTACTTCGGGTGTGGCCAGCCCTCAAGTTAGGCCACGCCCCCCGGGGCTGAAGGTGCCTGTAACTTGGCCACAGCAGAAAGGCGATACACACACACATACCTGCCTACATACAGATGTGCACAGGGGCAGTGCAGACAACACACCAAATAATAATAATAATAATAACAACAACAACAACAACAACAACAACAAAAACAGTCATCGTCCCCACTGCCCACGGACCCCGAGTCCCCAGACAATCTAAACTGATCTTGTCTGTAGAGGCTGGTGACAGACGCTAAATGATATCCCAATCGTTCCTGCTCCACAACGGATTTTTAAGTTACAAAGGCTTGAATGACACTCTAACACCTTCCAATTGGTGTCAACTTTCTAATACTTGTATTGTGTGTAACTATCAGTAGTGGAACTGCAGTTTATATGTCTGCTAATTAACCTTTCTATTGCTTCTAATTCTCCCATCTTTTCTTTACATATCATTTAGAAAGAATCTGCTTAACATACCCAGTTAACTGTTGGAAACCTTAAAGATAACTCCTATTGACTTCTTGTTAGCATGTTGTATTAGTACATAGGCTTGTTTATTCCTACAGTCATGTGATTAGTTGATTACCTTGATTACCTTAATGCTAAATGCTGTTGCACTGTCCAAAGATGAAACCACTATGACAAAATATGTTATGTTCACTTTGGTGAAATTTAATGAAGCAAATCACATACAAGTTCAGAACAGTGTCAGTACATCACATCTGAATAATTTGAGTTTGTCTGATTAAAGAAGTATTGAATCAGACAAACTCTCTTTGGTGAGGAGGTTTGTAGCAGAAGTGTTTTTACAGCTCTGTGGCAGCACCTGTATTGCCCACAACCTATCACCCATTTTTCACCATCCCCACCACTTTCTCAACTCTCTTCACTCTTCACACTGAATAGCCATTTTTTGTTATAAAAATATATGGAAAGTGGAACGGTGCTTCCACTCTGTCCTCCTACACATTTATTTCTGACATCACGGTGTGTCACACTCAAACTTGTGATGCTCATGAAGCCCTGTCACCGTCCCCTGAAACATGTCAGGATGTTGACACTGTTTTTCTATCATTAGCACAGCAACAATAGCTCTGCTGCAGAATGGGGTCTTGCGTCTTTAAAGGCAAATTTCTCTGCTAGCCGTCTCACACCGATGCTGTGTGTTGCATGTGTTGTTACATGCCAAGAACACAGTTGTTGGGGGTCATGGAGTTAGATGCGGTAGCTGCTGAAGTTTTCAAACGTGCCTCCCTCTGCGTGAGATTTGACTGATGGTGAAATCAGTAAAGCCGTTTCATATTGACAGAGTACAGGGATGACAATGCCTAAAGATGGTGCAGCTGCTTTTCCAGTGAAGTCAAAGATCAGAAAAACCTGCAGCTCTCTTTGAGCTCATAGAGCTGTATACAGTTTCTGCTTGTTGTTTATATGTTTTATGCACAGCAATACAAATCTTTTTCAGAAAAAAAGCTCTAAGATCCCTCTGTACACTAGCAGCTAATCAAAGTTAGAACAGAGACTGGAGCTAATTGGTAAACATATAGCTAATCTGCAGCAGTTAGCAGTGTAAGACCTACACATATTCTCATTGCTGGCCGAGAACAAAATGATTAGAAAAATCTGTTAATATCAGATTTATCTCATGACACATTACTCCCACATTATTGCTAGGAAGTTGCCTCCAAGTGACCACTCTTGCTGTGTTTGCAGTTTCGAAACGCTATGGCTTCTAAACACAAAATGTTTCCACGGTGGTAAATGTAGGACTTTGGTTTGTCATCCATCTCTGTATGTTTCAGAAGAGACATTCCTCTTGGTTCTGGCTGTGAGCTTTTCTTTGAACAGTGCTGAATGGAGGAATGGTCGCAACAAGGTTGGGCTTTAGGCCAGAATGCTTGCTGAGAAGGTCATTCAGATCTCTTACCCGCAGTTAGCACTGTCAAGGAATGGCTTTAATGCTCATTGTGCTAAACAACTCTCAGGTGTCAGTGGAAGCTTTGTAGTGAATGATGCGGGATGATATCAAAGGGGATGGATTAAAGTTGTATCTACTTGATATTAATGACAGTGGAAACCCTAGTTTATTTTGGTAAGGTAAAACCACATAAGTAAATCAAGTACTCATAAACAGAAAAGCTCTAAAGTTGCTTGTACGATGAATAGATCTTAAAATCTGGCATCCAGTTAACTTTAGAAAAGAGATAAAGTCAATTTTTCTTCTCTTGGTGCAATTCAAATGACACCTCACATCATAACAAGTCAAACCAAATAAACAAATCCCTACGAGATGGAACACACACACACAAAGCTCAGTGTAAGCATACCACTAGAATCACTCAGGCTTTCACAAAAATAAATCCTTCAAGGTAAAGACCAAAGCTGGACTTTATGGATCACTTATGAATAGCGTGACCAGGTGTCCCTCTGTATGAACAGCATTTTTATCCCTTGTTCCACATTTTGACTGGCAAGTGCAAGATGTGCCCTTTTTTTCAGTTAGTTAATTGTCAGTTATGGCTCAAAAAAGATGATTTTTGAATGTATTCCTACTTAAATCTAACCAGACAGAGCAACAGCAGAAATAACAGTGACATAAATAAAAATATAGGAGTATATAAAGACTAATAAACATGAGACCATGAGAACAAACTTTCCTTTATCACAAGAGAGCTGGAAAAGTTAATTCAACTAATATTACTTTGGCCATTAACATGTTGAATGCAAATTTGGTAATGTGCACAGTTTGGTGTATTTTTATTTTTAAGTTGGACATGAAAAATTTCAGCATTGCTAAGGTTTCCCACGCTGTCCCAGAAGAACATGCTTCACACGTGGATTTTTAAAGAATCCACATTAAAAATAGGCGGCTATGTCATGCTAATGTTATCTGTGGAATGCCCTGCATTTAGACTCAGACTGACATAGAGGACAAGAGGGTTGTGTCTGGAGAGTAAAGTATGCAGTTTCAAAATCTGCTTCATGTAAAAGAAACAATAGTAATACTAATAATCATTATTTATAGAATGCTGTGCAAAACAAATATACAAGTTTTCTTACATACTCTACCCCAAAGAGGACAAACTGGAGGATAATTTGCAATTTATGAGCTGTGAAATCCTGTCAAATTATTTAGACAAGCTTAAATTACTTAATAGATCATGTGGGAAATTCTGGTTTTGTGACTGTTGTGATTCCAGTTTGTAAAGATCATTTTCACAGAACAGAGCAGCGCAGGAAGTCATGACTGAAGCAATCGGCACCATTTTCGGTATACAAACATACAGTTCCAGTTGTGTTAAACAAGCTATTGCTGTTCTCTAGCTCCATAATTGTTCCAAAAAGTTTTACTCTACTCTGTTGGATCAGTTTAAGTCAACTGCAGCCAGATTATTCTGGCATAAATCTCTGTCTGATTAGCTCAAGAGTTTGAGCATGGCATTATCACTACATGGATAATGAGGTGGGGGGTTTCTTAATGAACCTTAAATCTTACTGTAAGATTTAAAATATGTGTAAAAAGAAAAAGAAAATACAACAATATACATATATACATTAGTAAATATTAAATTATTGATAACAAAATAGTCTAATGTAGTTAAACTTTGCAATATACTTGCTAACTCACCAAATGCTTAGTTTGCATCAGACCTTCTCCGTCACCCTTTATGGATTTCTCTCTGTCTAAAAACTAGGTCCACTTTAAGCCTGCCCAGTGTGTGTGGGATAGGAATGCTGGGCCCATGGCTGAGCACAGCCAGCTTCCAGTTTGTTCCCACCCAGCCACTCATACAGTACCCATCCTGCTCAGTTTTCTTCTCCACATGACAGCTCTGTGGTGAGACTGTAACCGCTGTCTCCTCCTGTGAACCCAGTCTTCAGCTCAATGATAGGACGTGAGCAGGACGGCATGGCTGACTTGCTGATACAGAGCATGTCCACTGTATTTAAAGACCAGCGTCCAAAAGAAACTCACATATTATATGCTTTCTTCAGTCTGTGAGTTTCAGAGAGCAGTGGGAGAAGAAGCCAGAGTGTTTAATCACTGGCAATTTCAAAACAAAGCCAAGCCATAAGGAACGGGCTGCACAATGACGGATCCCTGAAACATCATGGACATTAAATTTGGATTACGCAGCATGACTCAGTTTGTCCTGAACACAATCACATTGAGTCAAGCTGATCTTGGCCTCTCAAGATGGTGAGTGGCTTTGCTCGTTTCTTCTGTTTCTCCTCAGAGTTCAGTTTCTTGTATTTGCGTCGAACAGAAATTCATTGTTGTTGGCACAACACCGAAGCTAAACCGCAGTGCTGTGGTATTTTGTTTTCTGCAGAGCAGTTTTTGTATTCATTTAGTGGTTTTGCCAAGAATCTGGCAACAGGCATTCTGCTTTACCACAGTATATTCTAGAAAGACTGGAAACGTATTTTTAGTCAGTGATGTAGAAGTTATAGAGAGCACACAGGGAGAAGTTGGTATACAGTGATATATTACTCTGCACATATGCTGAGTTCATCTGAGTCAAAAAACATGTTCATAGCTGTAGTTTTAAAAAATAAACTATGCAGCATTGCTGTTCTTAAAAGTAATGCAATACGTTACATTACGTTCACGTCAGTCAGTAACATGATCTGAACACGGACACATATCCCTAATCCGGCACACGGATGATATTTCTTTTAACGTTCACGTATGAACACAAAACTGACAACACACAGTCAAGTTGACAACCAACCCAAAGAGACATGAACGTGATCACCACAATGACTTGGCTTTAGAAACAAGTACATATAACGGTTTACAAAGCGCTTTAATTTCCTGACATCATATGATAAATGTATCTGTATGGCTACTCTTCTCTTCCTCCTAAGCGTTGGCATTTTATCGAGTATCCATGAGAAATGAGGGTAGGAGCTAGTTGTACTGCTCCACAAGGCGATTAGCTTTGACTGGATCAATCAGAACTAATAAATTTATTTATTTTTTCCCATTTTTAGTGTCGGTACATTTCATTGTCCATGTAGTTATCATTTATCTTTTTTTCATTTAGTTATCATTTTGCTTTCATCCAAATAAAAAGTAGTTTGGGAGATTATTGGTTGTAGAAATTAACACTGCTCTGACTGGTCTGGTGTCAGCAAACCCTCAGCTCTAACACCACCTTGGATTCTTTGCTAGCGTTGTGTGTTTGTGCAAAGAGCTTCAGTTTTATTTTCTGTCCTGGGTCAAGTTTGCGCTTTACCATCACGCTCTTGTCCTTTTAAAAGTAAAACTGACGTCTGTATCCCCACTCCTCAAAGGTTTTACGTGCTCCACCATTTTCCTGCACACAAACTGAAATAGCACAGGGGCTACGAAAGAAAAAGGCATGGTTGATAGGGGGGGGTTTTTGTTCTTCCTACCTAGGTCAGCAACTATCAAACAATTACATTACATTGGTCTAGACAAATGGGAGGAACCAGTACTGACTTTGAAACTCAGGTTGCAAGTCTTTACACTTTGGAAAATTACTTTTGTCCCTTTTAACTGGTTTTATATTCACAAAGAGAATTTATAACGGCTCCAGTGTGCCAGTAACAAAGAATCAAGATTGCTCTCGCTAGTACAGGTTTGGCATGACATTAACTTGAAACAGATACAGGACTGGAAAACTGCAAGTGACAGAAACATGCACACAAGCACAAACCACATTTAAAAGTCCTCTAAATTCCCACACATGCAAAGAATAAATACGAATGCTGCAGTAAATCTGAAAGGCACACCCTAGTGAATTCTCTGACACGCACAAGTCACTAAGTGGTTGTTATTTTACCCGGCATGTGACATGAGGCTGAGACAGAGCTGTCCTTTGTTTGGCTTACCTAAAACTGCAGCTGAATGGGGAAACCTGTTGGGCCACTCAGGTTTCAGCTCAGACATGAAAAGAAATGTCCACTCTAGCAAGAAAAAATTAGCCAGGATACAGTCAAACCTGACCATCTGCTCACAGAACTCAAGTTTCTGTAGCACTTGCAGCATCTGTGCACAATGCAGCACAGAGATATAAATCTTATTTATTTTATTTTCAAAAAAGACATTTAACAAAGATAAATTTGGTGTAAATACAAAATGCAGTTTTTAAATAATCATTTTTATTTATTAAGAGGAAACGACTATGCAACCTGACCTGCCGCTATGTGAAAAAGTAATTATTCCCTTTGTAAAATCATGAATTAATTGTGACTAAACCCATTTGTGGGAAACCCGAGTTCAATTTTATTAGCTACAACCAGGCCTGATTACGGCCAGACCTGTTCAATAAAGAAATTGCCTTTATTGTTTGACAAAGTGAAGTAGGTTAAAAGATCTGAAAAAGCAACACATCATGCTCTGATTTACACTCAAGAACAAATAAGAAACAAAGTCACCAACATCTGTCAGTCCAGAAAAGCCATTTTATAGCTCTAGGGAACCACAGTGAGAGCCATTATCCACAAATGGAGAAAACCTGGAGAGACATCCAGGAGTTCATAAAAGAACCCAGGACAAAATCTAAAGAACAGGTCTAACTTACCTCAGTTATAGTCGGTGTTCATAAAATGAAAAATGAAAAAGAGACTGGACCAAAATGGCATCCATGAGAGAGTTCCAAAGTAAAAACCACTGCTGACAACAAAGAACACAGAGGCTTGATGATCACCAAAACTAGACAGTACATGGAAAGTTTTATCGATCCCATTTAGATTAGTCCATATCTTATCGCTCTCAGTCCACCTTTTGAAATGTCTGAGTCCTGTGAAATTAACACAGCATTTCATCAAAACAACATCATACCAACAGTCAAACATGGTGGTGGAGGTGTGATGGTCGGGAACTGCTTTGCTTTGGAATCCAAAACACACAGCAACTTCACCGCTGAATAGCTCAGACAAACACAAAAAACAATTAATCATGAAATCATCATTTAAAAACTGGATATTATATCTATTCAGGTTATCTTTGTCTATCATTCAAATGTGTTTGATGATGACTGTGAACTCTGACAAATAAGCAAAAACAAAGGAGCCAATGGGTTTTTTTTCACCTCACTGTAAATTTCTAGCGTTTATTACAAGATTATGTAAATTAACAGGGAAATGCTAATAACAAAATGACATCAGTCCACAAGGCTGAAAGGGAGATTGTCTAAAAACAGCCAGTGGGCACTCACAGCAGACGGCAATCACTTTCAGTGCAATGGTCCTTAACACAGCACTTAGCGGCACACTCCAATTGCTCAGGACAATTGCTTGATTGGACAACTCATCTCCATTTGTAGGGTAATCCACTGAAGAGCACTGTAACAAGCCGCAAGCACATGTAATGGAATTTGCTGGAACTGTGACTTAATGGCTATGACCCTGTGCTCAATTATTGGGTCAATAAAATTCATCTGCACCTCTATTGTAATAGTCCAACGGTTCAATTATATCAGCACTCATTCTATGATATTCTACTTTCATGACTCACTGCACCAAGTGTAATAGATGTGGGCTTTTCCCCAGCACAGGGTGCTTACTGTCAGTAGATTTCCATGGTCCTGGCACAGTATTGGTATAATTTCTGATTCACTGTGATGCTTTCTCTGAAAATGGGCCTAGAGAAGCCATGCCAAGACTGCAGTTAAAATACTCCCCACCCCAACCCTCCTACCACTTTCCCCCCCCCCTCTCCTGCATCTTACTCTTTGTGTGGGTTTTTTTCCTCTACTTTTGCTTTGTGTCTGTATTACAAGTCTATCCCTCCACCCATTCATCCGTCTCTTTATCTGACTAGGTTACTGACACCCAAAAAAGAAAAAGTACTCAACGGTAATCAAATATTTCTCAGTTTTCGAAGCAACTGAAGCAAACAGTCAAACAGAGTTGGTGACCCCGCTAATGTGCAGCCGCTCGATCTTCAAACCCGACTAAAAGCAGCAGATATTCTGTAATTGTGGCAGTGCGGCCCTCATGAAGCAGGTTGACGTGGGATTCAATAAGCGGCGCTTCACGCGCATCGTACATCCCTCTAGCCTCAATTACTTTATTGTAAGCTTATGTCTATCGATCCTGTCGCTCTCTGTAAGCATTTAATAAAAGGCAGAGCAAAACAGTTGAAATCTGCTCCACAACACGGGGTAGTTGTGCATTTGTGTGCGTGAGAGAGCTCGTCTGTAACTAGCTGCTAATTATATCTCCGCAGTAAACACGAAATTTGTAACCACACAACTGCAGGATATCATTAACTAAAAGGATTAGAGTGTGGTTCAGGCGGGAGGGCATCTGTGGCTTCTCCCGATTGAAAATGGACTAATCTAAATGGGATACATCAATAAAACAGCAGAATAAAGTTCCGGGCACTTAAGCCCTCTTGCTTGGGCTCAAAGAAGGGAAGAGAGTCACTGGCTGGCAGCCAGCCAACAGATTAGAAGATAAGAAATATTATTCCATGGCACACCATCAGCTTGAAGCTATTTAAAACAGTGAGGTTTATTGATAATTGAATTACTTGGGGAGGGGGACAAGAATAGAAAGCTTAGAGGTAGATCAATAAGGAGCTACTGTAGTGGATGACAGTGCGGTGGTCAGCAGTACAGCTAGGGGGATGTAACGTGTGTTAAATATGCTATCATGTGATAGCATATTTACAGTGTGTGTGTTGAAAGATGTAGTGTAGTGGTGCAAAGTTTCCATTTCCAGTGCTACATTTGATTAAACTTGATATTCAATTTGATGGTGACATATTCAGTATTGGGAAGGTTACTTTTAAAATGTATGTCACTACAGATTACAGAATAAATGCCCCAAAATGTAGTTTGTAGCGTATTCCGTTAAGTTACTCAATGTGAGTAACATATTCTGAGTACTTTGGATAACTTAATATATCGTAATGCTTTTTACAACTGCATGAATGTACTATTGCTGTGAGAATTGTTACTATTACTGAAGGCTACTCGCCACCGAGCTAACATTGCTAAACTGGTGTTAGCTGAGGTTAGTTCATAGACTGCTTTCAGAACTGCACATGATCATTTGCAGCTAGCAGGTCGTTAATGCTATCAGGCCTAACAGTCTGCAGTCTATGAAATCAGCTAAGGCCAGCTAGCAATGCTAGCTCGGTGGCAAGTAGCCTTCATTGATAGTCATAAATCACATAGCAATAGTACGTCGAACATACTGAAGTGGCACATATCCCAGGTAGCTACCACAAGTAAAACAAGGTAGTTGCAGTAGGCTAACGTTAGTTTTTAAAAAAGAACTTACTTCCAGATATTTCTTTAGGTCCAAGGCTTTTGGAGTCTGTTTTGCTGGCAGAGTTTGCATTGCACGGTCAGATTTCTCCCTTTCTTCTTTAAATGTGAAGTGGTGTCAGAATTTCCAAGTAAAAAATGCATTCCTGCCCGTGTACTGCTGTCTCTGCTGTGCTGGCCTCGGGTCTGTTGTGTAAGTGATGCCACCAACATTAATAGGATACTTACATTAGTGCCTCTTATTGCATGTTTTTTTTTGGGGGGTTCCGGCAATGCGTGTAATTAAATTAGAGAGGGGATAGCCTAACATATGAAACCGCTGTGTATCCATTTATTTCAACAAACTGTATTCTAATTACCACCTTTTTAAACAGTAACTATAACAGAATACAGTTATTCATATTTCGTATTTTAAATACATAATGGCAGAACATGTATTCCGTTACTCCCCAACACGGGACATATGGATAAAGGCAGACGTCCAAATTCGTATTCATTCATCACTTGGTGTTTACAGTGCACATGCTGTATTTCAGGTGCTGAGCTGAAGTAAGATGGCCTCAGGCAGGATGGCAAGTCCTCAGAGCAGCTCCAGGCAGAGCAGCTCACTCTCTTCATCTCCAATGAGGCAAGTAACAACCCAGTGTGCACACTTTGGGTCTGTACCTCATGTTTTAACAAGTAATGTTCTCATGTGTACTAACAACAGGTCTGGTCGTTGAAAGCACAGATACACTTGGTTTATGCAGGTTAGGCACTGATGTTTGGACTTTGAACAAAGGCTACAATGACACCAGTAATATACCCACTCCATGTGTCACTTCTTTGTCATAATAAGAATAAAAAATACACTCATCAATATTAGCTGTGCTTCCTTGAGTGGTTTTTACTTTTTCTCCCAATTTCATGCTGAAAGCAAAAAATAAAATGTGGAAAAATGTGAATATTGGGAAAATAAGTTGTAAGAAAGACATTCTTTTCTTTTTGTTATTGCTACTTAAAAATACAATGCATCTCTTTAACTAACCAAATGTTCAATGAATAATAATATTAATAACATGGTTTGTAGGCTACACCACCAATGTGAACATATCGTTCAAATTACTGATTATACAAGACAGCGGATGTTATATGATAAGCGGAAATGTTCAATGCAGGCCTTGAATTCTGCATGTTATCTGGACCAGCTGTTTAAAGATCATTGCAGAAAAAAAGTCAAATTGTTTGTTTGTTTGTTTTTCCATAACTTGTGTATCTGCAAATATACACATTCTGTATTTTTCATATGAAAGAAACTATACTGTGGTGGGGCTTGCTAATTTCTTGTTTTTGATTTATGTATGTTTTGTTTTGTTTTGCTTTACTTCATATGTTTCATATGTTTCATATGTTGTTTGTTTAATTTAAGACAAAAAAAAAATTAAATGAATGAGAGGTAAAACTTGAGGGGGTAGGGACAAATAAGTAAATACTTCAGCCTACTCCTTTTCAAACAAATAATGGAATGATATTTTGTAATGATTGTGAAGGCACATGTTTGAAATGTTTGAAATAAAAATGAACTGAACTGAACTGAAATTAAAGGAACTTTGACAATGTGATAGTTCCACTAGACAATTTCCAGAGATCAGAGAGAACAATTTCCCAAGCAAATGGTTTGTTATTAGCAATCATATGCAGTAGTTTATTGTCTCTCAGGACTACTCATGTTAATATTGCGGCCACTGGTGAAGATGTGGAGAGCACTGTTCACCTTCATGCACAAAAACACAGCTAAACACCAACCTGATAGCAAGAAACTACCCTCCTGTTTCATCTGCAAATGGAACCTCCAAAAAAGCAGCATACTTTGGCCCCTTATCTTCTGCGGGTAATGCAGTGTAATGGAGGTGGTGTGAGAGATGCGTGCCACCTCTCATGGAAGCAGGGATTAAGGTTTGCAGTAGTGACAGGGTGCAGTTGTGTCATTTGTCATTCCCAGTAGATGAATGCATGAGGAGATGTTTGGTGACATTATTATTATTGTTGTTGTTGTTATATCAGACCCCTGAGTTGCTGAATTAAGCCTTCATATCTGCCTTAGGATATATCTTCAACTTGATGTTTGATCATACTAATATTTGCACCTCAGTGAAGATCCCAGATCAATATATTTGAGGTACTCAATTAAGATAAGATAAGATAAGATAAGATAACTCTTTATTGTCATTGCACAGTCATACATAGTACAGTAGTACAATGAAATTGGAAAAACTGTCCTACGTCGGCACTACATATAACACAACACGACACGATATGACACATCACAACGTAACAAACAACACAACACAGTATATTAACTTAGTATAAAAAAGAAGAATAAGTGTATGTGTATTGCACACTGTTATTATTGCACATTAATTATTATTGCACCTGTCTGTGAAGGTTCTCAGTCATCCAGGTCATCGTAGTCAAAGGAGCTTGCAAAGAAAAGCGTCTGGACTTCTTTAAGTTACTTGAAGACGTTTCACCTCTCATCCGAGAAGCTTCTTCAGTTCTAAGGTCAAATGGTGGAGAGATCCCAGATAAAACTCTGGCTGATTGGGACCCACACCCAGTTTCACACCTTGGCTCAGGCGATTAGAGGATCATCAGGGGGTCCTTTTGTCCCTCTGTGGGGGGTACTCCCACTAGGTTTATATCTGGGACTCTCCACCATTTGACCTTAGAACTGAAGAAGCTTCTCGGATGAGAGGTGAAACGTCTTCAAGTAACTTAAAGAAGTCCAGACGCTTTTCTTTGCAAGCTCCTTTGACTACGATGACCTGTGATTTATTCAGTAATGCAAAGGTCAAAAACCTTCCCAACGATGCAATCCCATGTTTGGATGGGTTCAGATTTCCTGCCCATCCATAATACTGAGGCTACATAAAAAATAAACTTTACAAACTTTACTGATAAACGCAAAAAGCCAGAGCTCAAAATCTAAAATCCTGAAAAATCTGTAAGACACATGTGGCCAAGATGCTAAAAGAGACGTCCACATGTAACAAGCAGTGAGAAACTAAACTGACAGGGAGCACAAACCCACTAGCTGTTCTCAGGTGATCACTTCTCACTGTTGAGACACCAACAACACAGCATTCACCTGGAGATCTGGTCTTTTAAAGTGTGAAATTGGCAACTGTCAGTTTTTTTTAGCGTCTTCTCTTTTTTCATGTTTTATTAACTGAACTCCAAAGAAAACTCAACGTTTTCAAACAAAAACGACTATTAAACTCTAAGTGAACTTTGTCTAGACCCCCCCCCCCCCCCCCCCCCCCCCCCCCCCCCCCCCCCCCCCCCCCCCCCCCCCCCCCCCCCCCCCCAAAATCACCATTTTGTCATGAAATCACCTCTACAGACACACAGTTTTGTCTCACAGTCGACTGACAGTCACACACGCTGACCCTTCTTTCTTTTAACAATTACAGAAGCTGCTTTATCAGCATCTGTGGTTTAGAATATTTCAGTCACTGAAAATAAATTTGAATATATATCTTCTGACAGTTCGGTGTTTACTAATGTTCGCAAAGCATCTCAGAAGATGCACAGTGAATGCACTTGGATATTAAATCAGGGGAACTCACACGCCATAGGCACACACACACACGCACATAAATAAAGGACAAAACGGTCTCATACTTATCTCTGTCTGTGTCTCATGTACAGACTCAAATATAAATTGGATTTGTGCTGCGCACGGTGCACTAACAGTCAGTAAATCAGCTGATGAAACGAGCCAAGTGGCTGAACTGCATTAAAATAAATTGCAAACACAGATGGGACACGTACATGAACTCAGCTAACAAACATCTCCACAGCAGAACCTTTTCCCAGATCGGCTTGTCTGCACATTCAAAGCCTCGGGGCGCAGTCTGAAAGTGGTTGGCGAGTCATTACACTGCAAACAGGTTAGCCAAGTGTCTGTCTCTTTATATTTGTTTGTGTGTGTATATTTCTAAAGTGAGTTGTGGCCGCTCACTTAGGAAAATTGGAAAAGTTGTCAAAAAGTGTGGCTTTAGTAATGTGGGGGAAAGTGTGTGTGAGACTAAGAAAAATGAGGAAGCAAACCAAAGTGTAAGATGAATGGACTGGAGATGGTTTGAGACAGAGAGAGAGATGGATCATATTCTAATGCCTTTTACATATGTCTGTATTTGTATGCGTTGTGCGCATTTAACACGGCGTGCTAAGAAGCCTGAGATAATTAAATTTGAGGTTAGAAGTCGGCTGAGACAAAGAGAGAGAAAAGGAAAGAGAAAAAATGGGCTGTGTTTTTTGTCTTAGGAGAATCTAGTCTTGGCTACACATAAGAGGCTGTCTGAAGCATCTGGGAGTCAGATGTCTGCTTCTCTAGCCAGGATTCAGCTGTACCAGTCAGAGGCCACAATATCCCCTTTCCATGTGCTACTTCAGGAGGAGCACATGCTCCACCTTCACCCAGAAAATCAAGGCGTGACTTGTACATTTAAATGTGCCATTAGCCAGATGCCTTAACCATTTTCTTTGCTCATCTGTCACCTCTTGCCACAGTGAAACTATATTATATAGAAACCTCCCAGTGAAGCTGTTTCTGTGTAAAAGATGATTCCATTAAGCAATATTCTGGTTTCTGAGCTAAAGAGGAATGCATTAACATCCTACTTGATTATATGCCTCCATATTTAATTCTGTTTGGGACAAGAGTGTCCTTGTTTCCTCCTTCAGCTGAAGCCAAAGCCACAATGGCTGGGTCCTCAAAATCTAACAGCTCACTCTGCCCACATTTCCATTCCCTCTGCCTAGTTGGACTGTGGTTCTGTTGTGGTATTTAAGAAAGATTTCCATTTAGTTCCATTACATCAGTCATCAGATTGTGATATCCATGCACCCCAAACACTGGACGACAGTGAAGACCTCCTTCCTGCTTATACTGTCTTAAATGACTAACATATCAGAAGAATATGCAGCAAATAATCTGAACTGAATGCAGTCAGATCCCAGACAGACATAATGACACAAACCAACACATGTTGCTGTTTATTTTCCAAGCAAGAAACACTGAGGATGCCAGGAATACTGCCTGGAGTTAATGGACAGTTCCAGATGTTGGTTAATCCTAAATTCCTCCTTGTACCATGAGAGTGTGAATTCATAACATGATTTTTTTTTTTTTTTTATAGAGAAAGCAGTCTGTGTATTATCAGGTACAAATTATTTTGTTTTAGATGATTTTTTGGAGAAGTCTAAGACACAAAAAGCTGATTTTGGCGAGTAAAGCAGCTTCTGAGGATGATACAAAGTGAGTAAAGATTTTTGTATGAGCATTTATTACATTAAATAAATGAACACAATCATAACTTATACTGAGCTTTGTGTTAGCTGCTAGCTTACAACTTGCTAGTTACTGCTAGCAAATATAGCCTGGTATAGGTAAGTTTATAACTGTGGTTGTTGGTAAGTGCTAACATTTCTAATTAGGTCACTATATGAACAGCAACTATTAGTTACCCTCTAATACAACAGTACAAATTAAACAAACTCTCAAAGTTAAGTTGATATTGCCAACTTGCAATTGGAACTTTGTTTTTATTTTTATTCTGACACCACAAGAAGTCATGGCCTGGA